TCAAGATTGGTGCTCTGCTTTATTCTTTCCAGCTTTAATGCAATTAGTTGACGTTTATGTGCTACTTGACAGATTTAAGTAACATTGTTTTTTCTGTGTGCTCAAGCATACCACTGGGCTATGACTACTTCCAGAAAGTGTATTTTAATTGCCCTTTTCATTTTCTCCAGAAGTGAATGAAATCTCTATATCATGATGTGCTCCGTTTCTGAGTTTATGCAATGATTATATTACATGAATGGCTATGCATATGATTCTTCGGCCTCCAAGTGATATTTGTTAACGAGAATAAAAGGATATGGAAAAAAGTAAATTTGTGACATTCAGTTTTCTTTCTTTTGATAAAGTTGTTTATCTCAAAAGTCTTTTCTTTTATATCATGTTTGTGATACTGGATTCTTTTAGTTTGGTTGTCACTAAGAACAAGATTCGAGTGTAGTGGCTTGTGCTACTATGCTTCTTTGATGCATCAATCCATTCTTATAAATTCTTCTCCAACTGGATCAGCTCTTTTCATTTTCTCCAATAAATTCTTCTCTAACTCGATCACTGCTTCTCATTTGCTGCAGATATGTGACAGATTTATTAGCCGCAGGCTTGTGCAGAGGTTCTATGACAAAGCCTTAACATTTGGCTTAAAAGGTTTTGCCCAATTGTATGTCTCCCATCACTTGGCGATTCTATCTTAGATCTTATCCAAATTGATCTTTTCCTGTGAATTCTTTTACCCATTTCTCTGGGCAATCCATTATTAACAATGTCCTCCCAACTTTTTTTTATTGTAAAATACTACAATATTCTACATTCAAGACTTGTCTCCCAAACAAGCATAAAAACTTTCTGTTTCTACATATTTGTTCTAACTCGTGTTAAGCTATGAAAATTTTATGCTTTTATTTTACCACACTAATTCTTTTGTTTTGGTAGACACCAGAGTGTTCTCTCTCGTCTTGCAGATTGGGAAGGCATTACAAAGGTCAATTACGATATCTTTATTACTTTTGGCTTTGCCTTCTCTGAAGGCAACCCTGCTTGAATATGAGGAAACCATATTGACCTTGCATTGCCAATTTTTTCCATTTTCCTCTTCCTTCTGTTTTCCCTTTTCTTTTTTTTTCTTTTGTTTTGATATGCGGAGGTTTAGGGAAGCATCTTCTAGACTATGTTTGTTGATACCAATGTCACTGAACCATAGTTTGGTATAAATATTTCTTGCAAGCAAATCAATAAAGAGAAAAGAAACCTGATGACCAGTGGACTTCTTTTCATTTTCAATTGCTTCTGTTTTCCTTTCTAGCTTAGATACACAACGAGGAGAAAGAGCACAAGTGTCCTGCATCTAGTAGGACTACAAATAGCTTGGTTCCAACAAGGTGGCAATACTAAGCAATAGCATACTAGAAGCCTATAGGAAATGACAAAATGTCTATTGCTGTGCTCCCCTAGTCATAAAACATCTTAAAACAAAACGCAGTTGAAATTCTGAGTTTAATGCAGTTCTGTTTCATGTGTTTTCATCTGTCTATAGTTGAATGGAGTTCAATAACTGGAGTTTGCTAGTGTTGTCAATATGATTTTTGGTTTTCTTTCTTGCAGTCACGTTCTGTCCGGGACTTTGACAATTATGCTACTCGTCTTGTTGGAAAGTATGAGGTAAAACCTTTTGGCTTATTATTGTATTTTTTGTTGTTTCCTCCTGACTATGCTTGCTTTTTTCTTCCAGACTGTGGACACATACTACAGGCGTTGCAGCAGTGCTGGTTATGTTGGTAATGTTATGGTCCCTCTTCTATGCATCAGTGCTATAGATGATCCAGTGTGTACAAGGGAAGCAATTCCATGGGATGAGTGTCGGTGCGTATATATATCATTTTGCGTCTTTTGATTTGCCTAAACAACCTTTGAAGTGCACTTTATTTCCAGCCATCTTGTCATTATAAGTGCGACCAAACATAAAAGATGGTGTCAAGAGACTGAGCAGAAAATGGAATCTATAACCTTGAAATAATCACCATTTTGATGGACTATGAAATGTCTTGCACTGAAGAGAGTGTAAAGGAGATGGCAGATTCATATCATAGATGTCTTTTCTACTATTAATACTTCACTTTGATTTGGTAATCAAACAAGCAAAAGGATGCTAAGCTGGAAAATAGTACAATGATCTGTTAAAGCAGCCAATAAAGGCTCCAGCTTCAAAGAAAGTTCTTTGTGGACCTCTGACCTAGAAGTGTTCAGCATTTGTGTAACTATTGTGCCAGAATGAAGTTGGTTTTTAGTTGGGGGTTCTTTGTTTCTGCAGTCGGCTGATAGAAGACCTTAAACATTAAGGAATCAAACTCTGTAATGTAAACTGTGTGTATAAATTCTGTTTGACGTCCTCAAACTTAAACATAGAGCTTTGACTTTTCGAAATATCCACTTCTTGAAAGTAAGGTTACCTATCTCCTTGTTCTTCTCTACTTCCCATCCCAATTAAATATTCTATTAGTCTCCTTTATTTGCTTTATGTAGTACCTGTTTAATCTGCTAAAACAAACAGCATTTTTCTCTTGTAGGGCAAATAAAAACATCATTTTGGCTACCACACAGCACGGAGGACACCTAGCATATTTTGAAGGGATAACTGCAAAAAGTGTCTGGTTAGTTCTCATCGTTTCTTTACTGTCTGTCTATTGACTCTTAACCAATAATATCTATTCAATCATAATGGTGAGATGAAAAGATACTTGTCCAGTGGCTACATTTTAGATTTCTGAAAGAAAATTAGTGATGAATGAATGCAATTATTGGGTTACAGATAAGGCAATTCTCCAATTGAGTTATACACCTTGACGGTCTTTGTCATATGTGCCTTTAAGCGTAAATGTGACCACATACATGCCTATGGATGAAAAGAGGCCTTTCTTAACCAAGACACTGTTGTTTAGAAGACCTGTGTTGTGTGCATTTCCTGGAAAACAAAAATGTGCGTACATTAGTAGTTTCTTTGGATTTGGTTGACAATTTCTGGTCATACTGTTGAAAGTGAAGTTTCCTCCTTGCAGGTGGGTAAGGGCTGTTGATGAATTCTTCTCTATTCTGAACTCCAACCCATTGATTCACACAAGTAAAGAGGTGCATAGAACTCACTAATTTTCATTCTCCTTGTTCATTTATAAGTTTGCATGTCACCCAGGATGGTCATCATGCCTTCTAAATTCAGCTGTTTCCTTGAGTAAAGGAACACTAAATTGCGTAATATGACTTCAGACTGAGATTTCAAATGTGCGGTTTGCAAAATAATGTACTTTGAGTACCTATTAAGGAGACAAGGTGGCACTGTAACTTGCATAAGATACCTGAAATATAAGTTTTGGCATTGGCAAAATGAATAAAGTGATCTTAAAAGGAAATGGCACAATAAAGTTGGGAGAACATATGGGTTCCACTGAAAAATTGATCTGCACCTATTAATTTCTTCATTACTCGACACATCATATTGTAAACTCTTACGTTTGGTTAGCCAGATTTGCCAAAAAAAATTTCAAATTTTGTTTTGCTTACATCATAAACACAATTTCCAACCATCTTTTTATCTCACATACATCGCATCACAAAAAGTGCTACAGTAATTATTTCAAATCCAAACACAATGTCATTTAAGTTAATTCCCAACTATTCTCTTCAATGAGTCTACACAATTTTCTGCAGTGCAAAAATTATTTGGGCCAGGTCAGTGTTCGATCTGCAAAAATTGCAAGAAAATGTAGTGAATTGTATTCTATGTAAATGCACTTGTACTGAAAATTTTATCGTTTGACCATGTCACGTAATGCAGATGCAAGTGGCATCCCCCAGTCCTGAAGAAATTTCAATTGATCAGGCGCCATATGTAAATGTTGTGGAAGATGGAATGGTAACTGCAATTGGCAATGGGCAGTTAGCTGATATGGGGCATCTAAACAATGATAATATGGCTTCACATGACAAGGCTGAGGATGCAGTTTCTGCTGTAGCTGCAATTGGAAATGGGCAAACAACTCAAGTAAGGTCTCTTGAAAATGATAATTGTATCCAACATGACAAGGCTGAGGATAAATTATCTGATACTGGAAAAAATGGAGAAACGCCAAATGTGGCAGCTGGTCATGCTTTAGCTTCAGGACGAAATGCTAGTGACATAATTGCTCCAGTTAAAAGGTGTGTAGATAAGCTATCACGTCACAGTAGGAAATCAATGTGGTTGTTGGCATACATAGCAATTATAACCACCTGGCCAGTTGTGGGTTCTGCTCTTCTCCTGTTCTTCAAGAAGAAGTTCCGCACTGTGTTTTCACGAACTTCACTTGGGAAATGAAGTTATATCGCGGATTAATTATTCTGGATCTTATTCTAAGTATTTGTTTTCTGGCTCTGTATATCATTTCTCATGTTGCCAGGGATATGATATTCAGAGTTTGGATAGTTTTGGTGAGGGGAATATATCATTAAGAAGATGATAAAAAAAGGAGTTCAAAATCTGTTGGGAAGCTTGAGCTTCACATCATCTTTGAATTGATGTCGGTTCATAAGTTGATAATCTTGGACTGACAAGAATCGTGTCTGTAATACATGCACACAATACAATGTAAACTTCCGTTGATGTTAAGTCGCCTGTATCTGCTTGAAGCCTTGAAGAAAAATCTGACTCTGTGGATGCCGGGGGTAATGATGTGATGATGGATGAATAGGTGTTTTTTTTTTTTTTGTACTTATTAATAAATTCCAAACAACCAGCAATGACAGTACTTTTTTTCTTTTGATGTAATAGATGCGACATTAAGAAAATGATTAAGAAGATCAAAATATTGTTGGAAAACATGTTTATGATGTAATAAAAAAATTTTTACAAATAAACCACTATCTATTGTTATTAATCTTCTAAATGGATTATCAAGGCTCCTACGATACCATTTCATTTCTGAATCCCGTCCAGTAAACCAGGCTTACGACTAATCCGTGGAAAAAAAAGAGGAGGATTGTCATGAAGCTTCTTATTACCATTGTATAAACCTATTACACAACCTATTGGCTATTATACATATAAAAACATGCCAACTCCCTAACCGGTAACCCCAAAAAACCGTCTCAATGGAACTGATCTTCAGATTAATTGCAAAATTGTCTTGTCCCTTGAAGCAATTAATCAATTTCTTTATCAAAACCAACGCTACGGTAAAGGCCACAAAGGTGTGGTAGTTTTGCGCACTATCTAAACCGAAGTACAGAACCGTGGAGTAGTATCATTCAATCTACTATTGTCCTCCCCTTGGAAATAGGAGTCAATGCAACTAACATAATCCGAAACAAAGAACGTTGACAGGACCCAAAGATTTCCAGACGTCCTGGCCAACAGATGCAACTTACAAACATACGGCTAAGCCCTGGTCATCTTCATTTTTGGCATGGCCTTTTTCATCTGACGAGCCCGCTCTTTCGCCTCTTTCTTGCGAAGAGCCTCAGCACTAAGCTTGGCTTCAGCCTCCTCCATCTTCTTCCTCTGATCAGCTTTCTTTTTCTGCAAGGCTTCTTGTCGGGTATTCTGAAGTTCCTTGTATATCTCTTGAGCCACCTTTAACCTGGCTGCTTCAGTTTTTGAGCGAGCCTAAAATAAACACCTCACAGTTAGCACAAGTGAAAATCCTTGAAGTTAAATGCACCAGACTAATGCTACCGGTAACTTACATGTGAGCTTAGTTTGTACCGGCCAATTAAGTCGATGTAATAAGGCACAAGAGCCACCAATCGGGACATGTCAGCCATCTTTTTGGCATCAGGCAAAGCAAACTTGAACACCAGCATCTTCTTGTGTGAACCCAAATGTTGGTCGGAGAAATGCAGTGAGATGAAACCCTTCCCAAACTTGTCAAAAGCTTTTTCACCAAATACCTTTAAGAAGTCAAATGAACTCATTTTACATAACTTTCCAGAGAAGCAACTAATAGAAATTCGTTCCATAACTTACCATCAGAGCCCTTTATTATTGGTTGAACAATTAAGGGAAAGAGGAAGGAATAAGAAGAACCACTTTCTCATTCTTTATATAATATTTTTGGCCAGGGTTTTTTTTTTGGGGGGGTGGGGGGTGTGAAGGGGGCTTAAATGAGCGGTGTATCTAAAAGTGTAAACCATCATTGTTCAATGTTCACACAATCCACACAAAGCACGTATGAAAAGGAAAAACAGACAATACACTTATATGATTGAAATCTCTATGCCACTAGAAATGCATGAAGAATTACATGCTCAAAACACAATCTCAACCATTCCACCTGAAGTAATCAGCTTTTTCTGGATCATTGTTACCTATCCAACTTAGACTAATAACACTGCTAAATTTTTAATCCTATATTTCTCAACTCATAGTACAAATAGTTGATAAAGGACCAAAAAGCCAAAAACACAATCATCTGAGAGCTATTTCTACTATTGAATTCTCTGCCACTATCTTCAATAGTTTCTTTCAAAGTCTGAAGTAACCAATGAAAATTTCATTCTGATGAAAAAGCTCAATGCTGAAATATCTCAACTGCATGAAGATCTACACTACATTTTTTTTTGGTTTGGGGTGGGGTGGGGGGAGGGGGGGAAGTTTGTTGCTGGGAAAGTTAACAAGGAGGGTAGAAATGAACCACCAGCCTCCAGAGTTAAGGTTCACTTTCAATGTCTTAGGACTTCTATACAGCTTTTAAAGTTGACACCTATCTATCTACGCCTCCCACTTCCTCCACAGCATCTAACATCCAAATTAACTAGAGCATTTCATAACTTTGTCGAGTTTCCGCATCACTGTGATAAGGAAATATAGCTCCCTAACCTCACCCAAGCCAGATAAAACACAAAGAATTCCTTCAGACCTTGGATCTGTAACAGAATACATAACCATCATTAATTTGCAATTTTGCACAACTTTTAATTTGCAATTTTGCACAACTTCATGCAAAGACCACAAACATATGATTGCTTTGCCCCTTCACATTGTCAATATCTTGACAACCATATCAACTACTCAACAATACACTATACAACGGAGCTCAAAATGACAAAGGGAAGACCTGCACAATCTTCCTAGAATACTCAGAACTCAATAAGAAGACCAGCAAAACATTCACTACCAACCTGGTGGAGATTTATATTCAGCACCAAGGAGGACCCAACTAGGCTAAATAGCTAACAATGCAAGATGCAAATGTATATGCAGAAAAAAGGTAAAAATGAAGCCATATAACATTCAAAGAAAGTTTCTGGAACCAATGAACACCTGCCTGCATGGGTATTTTTTAACCAAAAACAGTACCTGATCAAGGGCGGCCTCGGTGATCAAATCCCCAGCAACCTCCTTAGACTCCGATACAACAGCCAACTCCTCAACCAGCCACTTCCTCCCGCTAGGAGGTGCCACCAAACCCGCAAACCTCTGCAAATCCCTATCCTCCTTTTGCATTGTTTTTGCCAGCTTCTTCCTCGCTACAGCAAACACCACTTGATCCATGGCATCATCATTCATATACACCTCAAAAGTGATTTCATCTTTACAAGGCACCACCATGTTATACAACCTCGATATCAAATCATGCCTGCTCTTCAACTCCAACGTCGCCAACATTCCCTGGCAAAATCTCCTGCCGCTCGCGTAAAATTTAAACACACTCTGCCCTTCTTTAAGCAGCAAAGGCGAATCATCGGCCTCCCCAATGCCTAACAAGCTAAAATTCTTATCGAAAATAGAATCCTTGGACGCAAATTTCATCACCCAAGATAGAGCTATATTCTCATTCTCCTTTTTCCCAGTAAAGTAGTTAACAATAAACACAATTAAAAACGACCCACATACAATTTCAACCGTAAATGACTTGATTGATCTCGAAGGAGTGACAGTGGCGTTGGGTTCGGATTCGGGTGAACCGGAATCCGGTTTGTGATCGGAGCCGGCAGCGGCGGAGGCTGAGTCCTTAGATTCATCAGGTATTTCAGAAGGGAAATGTTGGGGGAACCCTTCGAATTCATCTTCATCCCAGTAATACTCAAACGAGGTGGTGGTTTGAGGAGCAGGCTGTTTCAAATCCGAGCTGGGAGAAGAGTCGTCGGAGGACTTGGGTTTGGGATCCGGAGAGGGAGGTCCATGGTGGGATTCAGTGGGGTCAGAGGGAGAAGAGAGGGTGGTGGGAGGAGGAGGGGAGCGAAGAGGGAGGTCGGTAGCGAGCGAGAGCTGCTCGTCGTCATCCTCATCGGCGTCGAAGCCTTCGAAGTGGGGTTGAGAGGAAGAGGAGGAGGAGGCGGCGGCTGAGATAGACAGACGGTGGAGGAGAAGAGAGAGGAGAGAGAGGAGGGCGATGAAGTAAAGACGGCTGTCTCCGCCTCTTGGGAAGAAAAGGGAGAGTGGGGAAGAAATCATCATCAGCGAGTGGGAGTGGCTCTGGGGCTTCTTCGCCATCACCATTCAGTTTCCAGTTGAGTTGGGTTCCACTTCCCACCCTCACCAATTATATTATTCTCTGGGATTTTGATTCTATTCCTATTCTATATATGTATACAGCGGAGAGAGATAGGAATAGAGAAACTCAGAAGAGAGATCCCACTCCCCCCAGAAACCAGAAGACAGGGAGAAGATGGATTGCTATTTTTCCCTTTTCCGTTAGGCGTTGTATTTGCCTGCATCCGTTTGGTGTTTGTTTCTGTTTTGTCAAGAAAAGAAAAAATAAAACAACTAAATTGAATAGAGATTACATACACACACATACATATATAAAGAGCTTAAATTGGTTACAATAATGTTAGTTTAACTAATTCTTGTTCTCGAGTAGCTTAATTCATCGTTAATTTTGTGAATTGGGTTCAACAAAATCAAATTTTGTAAAGAAATGACAAAGGAAATTAATCAAGTGTTCTATCTTGACAAATTCAAATAGACACACTCGAGAATTGTCCATGGTTCAAAGTTGCGGTCGCGATTGTGATTGCGGTCAGGATCGTTCCACATTGATCTAGGCACATCGGTTGCGATCTCGGCGAGATGCGAATTTTTGAAATATTTAATATTCTAAAAATTATAAAAAATATGATAAACAAAAATAATTTAAAAATTAGTAAAAATAATAAAAAATCAAGTTGACTCGAAATGATTCAATATGATTCGACCGTTTCAACCCTTCACGGTGATGCCTCAGCAAGTCGAGTATTTCCCTGTGTCGGATCGGAAAAGCTCGAGACGGTGACAACTCAGCCGAATCCGATTGTCACCTGAATCATCTTGGACTCGGCCGAGACTTTGAACCATGCTTCGAGATCGGTTAAATGCTTCTGTAGCAACCATGCTAAAAGGAACACGATTAGGATCAGATACAGTGGAATTCTAGTAGCTTTTCAACTAAGAGAAGTTCCACAAAGTATACCGCTGTACTTCTAATTTGTTCATTTTTCTTTTAGGCTCAAACATCAGGCAATGGTTAACCGAAAAACTTCATTATTGATTGCGGACAGCAAGTAAAGCCGCCGCCCCGGGCCGGGGCCGGGGGCCACATTTCACTAAAGAATAGCAGGACGAGGAAAATGAGAAGACAAAACGGCAGGCATCACATTACGGTATCGCACTTGAACATCTCTACATTTTGAATATAGATCATATGCAACTTAGTCAACCCTAGATGTTCTTCTAGGGGCTTGACATGAGATCTTTACACTGCCATCAAGATGGAACGAAAGTTACACTTGAAGCATGTGATTGGACGAATCTGAGCACCTTGAACGACTATTTACATGGAGCTTCTCCCTTGCCGAATAATTAGGTGTAAGCATGAAGTAATCATTTTCTCCAAATCTCAGATGTCCACAAACTTGTTACATGGCACGGTGACCATAGACGGCAATCATAGGCAGCAATCTAAATGGTTCAGGGCGCGGCGCTACTTCTTTTTCAAGGGACAGGCAGGGCATTGAACATGCCTCAGCCCAAGATTGAACGAGTTACTTCACGGCTTTGTCTTCTTCCAGAAACAAATTAATTATAGAGCTAAGAACTTCATTACTTGTGACTGATACAGCCTGAAAAGCCGGTAACGGAAATTCATTCATTACATCAAAGTGCAAGGAGTGAAATATAATATATCAACAAGAGACAGAAAGTGTAACAAGCATATATGACTCAGGCAACATTATTATATCAGCACCTGTTAAGCACGTGTAACAAATGTTTGGTATGAAAGCCGGAGGAAAAGCAAGAATAAATCCAAAGAGAGAGAAGTCCTAATATTTTGGGTTTAGCAATCCTAACCTGAGATCAATACAACCACATACGTTGAAGAACTTCAATCGGATCAGCCCAGGTACTCCATTCAATTATTAGCCAACCTCAGAATCCAGAAAATCATTATGTTCTCTAAGCAAGTATTATGACCACATTTTTTTGTAAACAAAGACATCTGGGACCTCTTTAATAGAACAACCCTTCTAGCTCTCCAAACCTCCCGCTCATATGTAACTTTTATGATCCATGATCTCCCATGTTTATGTTTTGTTTCTTCATGGTTATTAATTAAGAATGAACCACATCTAAAATAGCAGCCAAGAAGAAAAAATAATGAAAAGCTGACATGTAAGATGTAACCATACTTATTTCCAGACCTTCAACATCCCCCACCTTCCATTGCACGTCTCCTTCCAGTCTCAAGCTACCCCAGCTGGCGGATATCAAAACAATTTATACATTCAGCCCATTATCCATCCTGAATGAAGAAAATCACGAGGTACGGTGTAATACTGGAAAAGTTCAATTTTTCTGGCACTACCTCCTCGGTTCTGTCTCACCCTGTCTCCATACCTCTTGCCTGTCCTGAACCCTACTCTCCCAGCTGTCTCCTGCCCCAACCCAACCCCACCCAATAGATCTTAAGCTTTACCTACTATGCCATCATTTGGGCGAGATCAGGAAAATGATGGGTTCGCATACAATTAAACCTTTTATAGGATAAATTAGAAGATTAATATTAAGTTAACAACAATGAACTCAACATGGGAGGTCCTTCCATTGCTTCTCTAAACCCCTTGCACATCTTTGTCCCGTCTCCAGCTACCCAGATGGTGGATATAAAATCATTTCCATGTTGAGTCCAAGTGAAAGCATTTAACTCCATATATGAGTTCAAAGGTCCAAAACAAACTGCATTATCCATGATAAACGAAGAAAACTATGAGGCAAGGGTGTAGTACTGGCAAAATTCAATCTCTCTTGCATTCTCCCTGTGGTTCTGTCTCGCACTGTCTCTATACCTCTCTTTCCTGCCGTCCCTCATTTCTAAACCACACTCTCCAACAGTCTCTTGCCCCAACCTTACCCCATGAATAGATCTTAAGCTATACCTATGATGCCTTCAGTTAGCTAAAGTCAGATAAAATGTTGGGTACGTATACAAATAAAACTATGTAGGGTATATTGGAAGGACTAAGATTGACTTAACATCAATGGACTCAATTGGGACAGTATTAGATGAAAGTGTCTTATACTTTTTTCAAAAAATTTACAACTTGGCTAAATTATCAAATTCAACAGCAACAAACCAGAAAGAAAGAGGGAGGGGCAGCACTGCAGTAAGTCATGAACAAGTTCTTCCTTCTAATGATCGACGTTAATTTCCCTTTCAATTTCTGGAAACTGTTCCATACCAAATACAGACTATAAGAAGCAGCACGTGGGATCCAATACCTATAAGCCAAATAAATCTAGCAGTAGAGGCGGCAAACTGGATTGAAATCCACTTATCCATCCATGTAAACCACTATTATATGGATTTGGATGACTAAAATAAATCTAATGACTTCAAATGGATAACCATTTAAAACCAATTAAATTGGTGGATTTAAATGGATAAACCATTTTATCCATATTTATCCAATTATCAGGAAAAAGGAAGAAAGATATAATCTAACTTGTCTATCTCTTTCTGTTCCCTCCCCAGCAGGCAGCTCCCATGTTTATCTTCTCCCAAAGAAGAAGAAGCTTGGTAGTCATCAGACCCATCACTATCATTCATCAGCCACCCTCATTCTCATCAAACAAAATTGATCCCAAAAGTTGATTCCTGTAACTAATTAGTCTTAAAAAAAAATCCAAAACTCAGTTTTCTTTCTGTCAATAGTCTAGGCCGCTCAAGCGCAACGACAGCTCAAAGAAATGAAAAACACACAGCTGCTGTCATAGATTCACCGAGACCACAAACACCTTTGTTGAATTTTCTTGGTGGGTTTTAAAAATCAAAATGCAGGTTTGGGCCAAACGAGGAAGTGCTTGGCCGTCTATGTTGAAATTGATGAAAAAAGTAAAAATGATTTTCGTTGTTTGGATAGGCTTTAACGGGTTTGGATAAATTATTGTCATAGTAATAATCTGCATTAAAAGTGGACGGAGATGGTGGGGAGGCTTCAATGGGTTTTGTGAACAGTGGCTGGAATTCATAGGGCCATGGAGAGGAATAGATCTACCACCACTCTTGTTGCTTAGCTGGGGAAGGAGAAAACAATAACAGAAATTTCATTTCGACCTCAAAGTTTTTCTGTAAATTCATTTTAACCTCTATTCTAAAGTTAATTGAGTAATTTCATCACTGTTCCGTAATAAAAAGTATGACTAACACCATTTGACTGTTAATTCTAACAGATCACATTAGTCTAAAACATAAGGGGTTAAAATGTAATTCCAAAAAAAAAAACAGTTAAAATGTAAGGTTCTAAACCATAGGGGGTCAATGTGTGTATTTAAATCATGAGGGGTTATTTTCTATTTTACCCTATAAAAAAATTTTTGAAGTGACGTTATTCACTTATTTGCCTGATTTCTTACTAAAGTATGTCAAATCCTGAAAAAAGATACAGAGTTGATATAAAAGAGTAATTGCTTTCATAAAGGAAATTCGACTTTTTAAGTACTTTTCTGTGTTCAATTGTGTGACGTGCACTTTGGAAAGGCCATCTTCCAAGTTTTGATAAATTTGTAAAATGCATATTGTACTATCAAAGGTTCTTTGGGGATATTGAAGTCTGAGAAGTGTGATCTTCAGATTTTTTGCAAATATTTACATTTGTTTTGCTATATGGTGAATTTGAATCCAAATCAGAATTAAGGGACTCATTAGGAGCAGTCCATTTGATTAAAAAGAAAAGTTAGTATACAAAAGGACAAAAATGAAGTTCTCAATGTATCTGAGGCCTTTTTCTGTTGCAGGCCTCTAAGTAATCCATGTACATGTGGTTATGAACTTATGATATACAGTGCGGATTAGTTAAATGGCTTTTAAATGGATAATTGGATATCCATCATCCATTTAGATCCAATCCACACACCACCATTTATTATATGGATTTAAGAGGATAGGATCATATAATCTATGAACCAAAAATATGAAACCAAGTATGATCCAAAATATCCAGTTTGCCACCTCTATCTAGCAGTTGCTTACCCAATAAACTGCTAATGTTTTGCATAGTTTTTAGTCCAACTAAGAAATTAAGAAAGGATTCAAAACATTAATGTCTTATCATATCACCAGTGCATTGCGTAGGAAAACAATAAAAATAAAAGCACCTCAAACATAATTTTCATACAAAGAAAAGAAGGCAAGCAACAGAATCATGTTGGTGGTTGAAGCTAGACTATTGGTCA